TATGTTGAATTGTGCTTTTTGTGTAGCCTTTATGACAATATCTTTCTCACTTTTTCTGTTTAAAAAAAAATGTACGACACGGCCACCCATTGTCGTGGAGTAAAGTGGCTGTCACAGGCTGATGGATATTTTAAAAAATTATAATGTAAAAAATACAAGCAGTGGAGTGAAAAGTGATTGTTTGTATAGGTGATTGTCGTAGACAGGTAGCCTTTATATCATGTGGATGATTGGAGGAGGGGGGTGCTCTGGTTTGGTTTGCTCCTTTACTCCTTCTTTCCTATTAAACACCTATCGACTTTAGCTCTCCCCCTTCTTTTTTATGTGTGTTACTCTCTTGTAACACCTCCAATCTTCGACACTTGTATGACGTATTTGTGTTGCAAGTGCCATAAAACTCTTTCCCAAAAAAAACCAAACAAACCAAGAGCAGGTTCTACTGAATTTATTGTCCTGTGTCCAGGAAAGAGATCGAGGCCAGCGCCCATGAGCGGCACTCACTGCACAACCAGAATAACAAGCAACAGAAGATTGTGGGCGAACTCCAGGACAGGTGAGATTGAACATGGCGGTCATCATGGGGGGTCAGGGTCATCATGGGGCGTCAGGGTCATCATGAGGGTCATAATCATCATGGGGAAGGTCATGGTCATGTGGGGTCATGGTCATCATGGAGGGTCACGGTCATCATTACGGGTCATGGTCATCATAAAGGGTCAAGGTCACCATGTGGGGTCATGGTTTTAATGTGGAAGTTGAAGGTCACGGTCATCATGGTGGGTTATGGTCACCATGGGAAGGTCATGGTCACCACGGGAAGGTTAGGGTCATCATGAGGGGTCAGGGTCATCGTGAGGGGTCACATCACTCATAGCTGTGTGCCCTTATCAACTGAATTGTTTTTACCTTTTTCCTTCTGAGTCTTCTATTTCTTCGTCTTCTAGTGTAGTGTTTCTACTATAATTCTTTTACCTGTCCTTCTTCTTAAGTCTGATCACTCTACGTACCGAATACTCCAGCTTCAACTGGCATACACTTAGTAGGAGACTATAGGTATACAGACACAAAATAAACAACTCACTTGAAGGAAATAAATGGAATCTGACTGTAAAGAATATTGCTATGTCTTTGTTGGGACAGTTTTAGCTGCAACTAAAATTTAATAAAAATGTATATTTTAAAAAGACCCACTGTACCTGCTGACCTCTGCCATGTTGAAGTGTAGTTTTAGCTTACTTACTTTTTTTACATTTTGAATTTTTACTCCTCTTCTGATTTTGAGTGTGGAGAGCGGATGCAGTTTTTTATGGTTGACCAACTCTGCAGCTCTTTCAACTGAAATGATGCCATTTTTCAGGGTTCTCTTAACTCCCTCAATCCATCTTTTGTGTGGTCTACCTTTTCCTTTGTAGCCAGAGTACTTATATGGTGTTATAGGCTGTCGAGACTCGGTGAATAGGTAGCATTTGTAATTAAAAAGGTGGGCAAACCATTTTATTCTTTGTTGTTCTATGAAGTGCAGGCAGGACTTCGTGCCAACAGCTGCTCTTACTTTTGCATTTTTCTGCCAGTCTCTTCTTGTGATGTTTAGAGTTTAAAGAAGGCATTTTAGCATGCATGTAGTAACTTTTCTTCCATAGGTTTTACTCAGTGTCCAGGTCTGACATTGCTAACATAATGTTCGTCATTGAAGTGATAAACTCTCTTTGTGTCCAAAAATAGCTGCTTTAGGTTCACCCGTGAAAAAAAAAGTTTTATTATGATTTTACTATTTTTATGAATACCATTTTTTCCAGATTGGCCATTGAGACTGAGAAATCAGCCAAATTCATGGATGAGATCAACCTCTTGCAGCAAAAGTTAACCCTTTTGGAAGGGCACTTAAAGGAATTTCAGATTGCAGCCCAGAGGCCTAAAGAGAATGTGGACCAGCTGGAGAGGACCATTGAGAACCTAACACGAGAAGTGGACCAGTGGAAACACAGGTATGAGGACTGGTGTCTGTGGTGTAGTCGTTATGTAGGCTCCTTGCCTTGAATGCCTGGGGTGGGGTGTCGGTTTCAATGTAGAGAAGATGTTTAATGGAGAGCCTACATGTCTTTCTGATGGGCTGGAGTGGCCTGCATTGTCCGGGCTTGTTGGGAAAAGCAGGAGGTTAACTCATTCAGTGCTACGGTTGAGAGTACTCGCGAAACCTGGGCCCCGCCCACATACTAGCGACGAGTATTCTCGCATCTTATACAAAAAATTACTCTATCTAAGCCAAACCAGGTTATTTGAACTAATCGTGATACATCATGGGAAAGGTCAAGGAGATAATTTTTTTGATTGAACAGCCATTGAGCTCTCTAGTTTTTATTGATTTTCCTGGGTAGACCTAAATTCATGTTGCAAAACAAAACTGTCCAGTATATGAGGGGAGTTCACTGCTGGAGCGCTCAGTATTGAATGAGTTAAAGCAGCAGGCCTTCCAAATAATCTAAAATGTTATCATCTATTAGACAGTGAAAGATCTTGTCAAGTTTGGTAGTGTTTGAGTGCTGAATCAACTGCTTGCACTGTGTGCTTCTGGGAAAGCCAAGTATGTTTGTGAGTGTTATAGGGTCTGCTGGGGTAATAATGTTAGTGTAAAGTGCAAAACGCTTAAGTTGTCAAGTGGGGATATGTACTATATAAACTATATAAATGCTATTAATTGTTATTATTATTGTTGTATATTATTATCATCTTGGGGGGGGGGGCGATAAATATACTAGTGCAGGTAACAGGTGGGAAAGAAACAAAAAATTGTTTGAATATCTGCCTTACTCAAATTCAGCATGCTGTCAGTTTATAAGATTATAAGATCCCAATGTATTCAGGGAGTGAAGTTGGGGGAGGTAGGTCACTGAAAGACTCACTGAATGCCAGTAGGATATGCAGTCTTCACAACTTTCCTTCACATTCAATGCTCCACTAGTGGCTATTAACATAAGATTAATGAGCAAAGAAGTATGAAGAATATGTTTATAATGTGCCCTGTGATTGTCAACAAAGGATTCTGGTAGTGTTTGTTTCTTGTGACTCAGATGCTTCTTATTATTTCCCCTTTCACTTATTCAAATTAGGTACTTTTTCATTTATTAGAGCGTACTGTGAGCTCAAGGGGTAGCATGTGAATGACCCTGGTCTGAATCCGCAATGTCAAATTGTCCGCCATCTTGGCTCGATCCTAAGGAAGATGAGCTTTAAATTTGACATACCTGCTCTCAAGTATACTTACAATGTTGAAGAGAGCTTTCAATCTATGCGACACTACTATGCCTTATCATTTCCTCAAGTCAGTTGTATTTGATTTATCTGAAGGAAGCTCAACCCACTATACCTGGCATAGGCTAGGCAAACTATGGCCTGCAGGCCAGATCTAGTTAGTGAGCAGTTTCAGTCAGGCCCCTGAGTCTACCCAGTATGCTGATTAATAATGAATGTGATCCACAGTGAGTTGATGATTCATAAAAATGAAACTTTGTGTCTTGAATATTAAAATCAATATTCGCCATCCCAAATGAAAGCAATAGATCTAATAGTTTATTTCATGAAGTGCCGTGAGAGACATATACCATAGTGTCTGTTTTTATTCTCACTTTTGAGAGCTTGGGTATTTCATCTGATTTCATCCATTTTTTTCCTTCTTTGGCTTGCGAGATATTCAAAATCGCTTAATCCAGCCCATGATATAGACATACTTGCCCAAGCCTGTACCGTGTCTTTATTCTTCCTATGCCAGGTATGAACATGAGCAAGTGGCCAGGCAAGAGGCAGACGGGCGAGCCCAACAGTTTATGAAGAAAATGGAGTTTTCAGAACAAGTCCACAACCAGCAAGCCTCAGACTACCAGGTATGTGCGGGCCTACACTGTTTGTTTTCTTTTCAGAACAACGCCTTTTCTAGTTAAAAGACTGGATGAATGGGCGCCGTTTTGGATGTGCAGTCCTTGTTTTGCATTTGTGAGTCTAGCATTGAAAAAAGGGTTAATTGGATTAGAGTTGATGAAGGCTTGGAGTCCTTCTATCTATATATTAAATTGAGAAAACAAATTGCAGTCAGTTTACGCATATACTACCCAGAATATAAAAAGTACACTTTTGCTATACGAAATGTACTCTCAGTGTATAAGGATGTCATCATGTAGCTTGTTTTCATAAAGGAATGATATTCCAATTCTTTAAAGATTACTGGAATGTTTTGCAAAACTAGGCATTTCTACTCGTTCAATTCTTTTTGCATTGCAAAAGCCGGTCTCAGAAACGATGTCTGTAGCAATTTCCTGAATGTTAAGTCTCTCTCTTGTATTTTCTTCCCTTGCAATGGCCACATGATATGTAACAGTGAATCCAGCAACATTTTAGCTTTTTCCGCCTTCAGTGCAATGCATTATGCCCCTTTGGTGTGATTTATAACTTGCAGCAGTCTTCTCAAAGTTCAATAGAATATAAGTATTAAATCTCCCCCATTCTTTTACGGCCTTTTATAAAAACACACACAGACATGCAAACACTCAGACGTCTATACAGCACCTATGCAGTCAGTACCATACAGGTAACAACAAAACAGAACATGTGTTTGCTCATTGGAAGATATAGGTTCTCAGCAATCACCATCATTATAAAGTACCAAATCTGTAAAAGACATTGGCGGTCATGTTTCTCCTTTCATTTTTCTGCTCGGATGCTCTCAGAAACCCACATTATCCATATCACCCACCTTTTCAGGGTTTCTCCAAATAATTTTCTCTGAGTCTGCCCTTGCCTCATTTGTCTTGTATTTTCCTCCGTGAGAGCAATAAGTTCAAAGCCCTTATGTTGAATCTAGTGTCCCAGAAACTATTTGCCGTTTCCTAATTTCTCAGCAATAGCCATAACTTACTTTTTCCTCATCTCTCCTCCCTTCACAGTCCCGACTGGACACAGCCTCAGCCAGTATAGTTAGCTTGGAGGCTCGCGTGCGAGAGTTGAGCGTAGCGGACGTGAGTGTGACTGAGATGCTGAAGCAAGTGAGAGAAACCGCTGAGACGGAACTGAAGAAGTTTCAAATAGAGTCGGAGGAACAGTACAACAGAAATGTAAGTGTTTCCAACTTAACAGGAACAGTTTTAATGTTATTACATCCAGATTGATGTTTTAAAGCACTTACAGTGTGTTGTTGAGCATGAATATGTGCCATATCAACACAATTATTATTATTTATCTAGATCACAAGTGTCAAACTCTAGGCCAGCAGGCTGTATCCATCCTGTTTTATAATTATATCCGGCGCATGAGAGAATTTTAGGTAGTCCACCCTAAGAATTTCTAAAACACAAAACCTTACTCCAATCAAAAACACACTTGTAACTCAGAAAAGATGCTAAACATCCATATCGGCATACGAGCAAAAATTGGTATGTTTTGATTATCATTTTAACTTTTGTCTGTTTCAACTGTTGTCCATATTCTTTTTAATTGAAAAAAAAGAACCCACTTACTTCCTTCTTCCTTCACGCCCCTGATCTTCAGATAGAAAAGATGAAGCACCAAGTCTTCTTGGATAAGGACAAAAAGTCTTAACGGTCCTGTGTGCATGTTGTGCACCTTAAAGATCCCTTGGTGGTTGAAAATCGAAAAAGAGTAGGCCATTAGTTTGCTATTTTGGCAAACTTTACCGTTCAATGTCCCTATCACACCTTTAAATAATAAGAAAGAGAGAGAGAGAGAAAACATTACAGGGTGTATGAGTGTGTTTGTGTCCTTGCAATGTTCTACTCTTTTTAGACAACAAACATCCCTTGTTCCCTCAAATAAAAACATCAGTCAGAAGTAAAAGACCCATGCTTCTGATCTGTAACAATGAAAGATACAGGTCATTTTTACCATCATCTATCAAAATGCTTCCATCTTAACCATCTTGTTTAGTGTACTTACGACCTGAGAGCATGGATCAAAATAACATAGAGTGTGTATCTAGCTTACGATTATTATTGTTTATATTGCTGCTCATTTATATTATGCATGTGATTGTAAGCCTACTTGTGTGTGTACGTGTGTGTGTGTGTGTGTGCGTGTGTGTGTGTGTACTCGTGGTGGATCACCAAACCAATGTGCCAGGATCTGGACAATAAAGATGTATCTTATCTTATCTTATCTAACCAGAACGAATTTGTCAACATCTCATTGTGAGATCTAATGTCATAATCACCATGTTCATTTACTCCTCAGCTTTCTGCTCTCAAAGCTCAGATTGACAACGATGCTGACTGTTTACTAAGGTATCAGACCGAGAAAAGTGAGCTCATGGGGAATATCGGAGAACTGCAGGCCAAGATCCGCAACCTGGAAGGCCAGGTACAATCATATAAAAATTCTTCACAGACTTATTCATTCATACCATTGTGGTTCAGATCTGTTTTAGAACGTTTGCTGAGGAGAAGAGACTATGGGTTTTCATCCTGTTCCTCATGATATTGGCTTTAATATGGATATACCACCTCTTATATTTCCTTAATAATTTTGAAAGGAATATAAAATTCAAGTTCTGAAAGTTTAAGTCCTATATTTTGATCATCTCTTTGTTTCATGTTTGCACCAAGAGTTTATCTCAAATGAGAACTTTGACGTGCTTCAGAAGTTACATTAATTTCAGTCAAATGTCTTGTTAACAACTGGTGTTATTTTGTGTTTCTAAAAATACCTTCATTTCTTTCGCCAGGTTATCAACTTACAACATCAGAAGCAGACGTTGGAAGATGCTGTTTCTGTGGAGAGGAACAGATCTGCCGACAACATACAAGGCTTGGAGAGAAAGTTGCGAGAAGTTCAAGATATACTGGTGGTCAAGATGAGAGAGATTACCAATGCGCGAGAGGCCAACATTCCTCTCAAGGCTGAGATCGAAGCACTGAAAGTCATTCTGGAGGAGGAAGAGAAGAGGTGAGAGACTCTCTGTCCCTGGGTTGTAAGACTGGCTAAATGGGGATTGGGTGCTGTATAAATCTGTTTGGCATCCACTGTTATCATCATCATCATCATCATCATCATCATCATCATCATCACCATCACCCTCACCATCATTATTATTATTATCATCATCAATTAGTATTATCAGTATCACCATCATTTCATCTGTTTAAAAAATTATGGGTATAAAATCCTTTATTTCAATCATTTGTTTTTCTAGTTGTTCCAGATATTTTTTTCCTAATGATTGTACTTTCAGGACCCTTCTGTTCGGAAATAGGCGTCGAACCCATACCATACAGATTCATCTAAATGTTTTTGTATCTTTCCCACAGACTGCGGGTTCCCCTGGGTATTGTATCGGCTCAGGTCATCCCGACCAGCGCTCCGCCACCTGTGACCCCAGTTCTAATGACCTCAGCCTCGATGACCTCCGCCCAGAAGGTCCCCTTGGTCCAGCGCCCCCCCACCCCTGTACAGCAGTCTCCTGCTCCTGTCCAACCGACTGTGGCCTCCGTCCAGCCATCTCCAGCCACTGTCCAGCAGTCCCTCGCCTCGGTCCAACAGCCGCTTGTCTCTATCCAGTCTCTCCCCCCTATGCAACCCCCTCTTCCCCCACTGAGTGCGCCTGCTGGGTCAGGTAAGAGACTTACAAAATGTTACTTACAAAATGTTACTTACTTACTTTTTTATAATGACATTTTTTTTCTTTTTTTAAAATTTCTGTCAAATCAAATAATTCAATACCCTTTATTTTTACCCAATAATGGGAATATTAGAAACTGGCATTTTGCTTCCATCCATCTTATCTTAAGATAAAAATCAGTATCCTGGGTAAAAGACTATTTTCGACTCAGAAGCAGAACATTACCTACTTATTCACTCTCTCACTCACACTCTCTCTCTCTCTCTCTCTCTCTCTCTCTCTCTCTCTCTCTCTCTCTCTCTCTCTCTCTCTCTCTATCTATCTCTCTCTCTCTCTATCTCTCTCCCTCTTGCACACCTCTCTCTCTCACTTCTCCCTCTCTCTCTCTCTATCTATCTCTCTCTCTCTCTCTATCTCTCTCTCTGTACCATCAGGTACACAAGGTAGCAAGTCATCAACTCCACATTTGTCTGTCCCTGGCCACTTCTCCTAAACTATGGCACATGTGGCCTTGGATGATTGCCTCATCCCTGATTGTGCTTCTGTTCTTCCAGTTGGTCTCCAGAACCGTGTCTTAATCTCATTATCACGACTGTGCTGAATCATTCTCATAAACACAAACAAACTCGGAAACTTACCCTGGGAGGGTGGTTGGCGGGTGCCCTGGTGTGGTTTGCTCCTTCTTTTCTATAAAACATCTATCGTCCTTATCTCTCCTCCTTTTTTGTTTATTTTTCTCTCTTGTAACATCTCTAATCTTCGGCACTTATATGACCTTATTGTGTTGCAAGTGCCGTAAAACACTCACTAAAACTTAACTTACCTTGACAAATGCCTCCAGACTTTGCTCGTAATGTTCCTGGAACCCTGCCTTGAACTGCTTCATGTCCACCTCAGATCTGGACACGTTCACTCAAATCAAAGCCTGGTCATCTGTACCCATGTCTGATAGGGCAATTTTATGTCTGGTTTTCTCAAAACATGTCCTAAATATCTCCATCTTCTCTTTTTTATAGTCCTGTTGATATTTTCAGTTCCAGCTCTTTCCGACACTTCCAGGCTGGAAACTCTTTGTACCAAATTCTGGTTTTGATTCCAAAGTGGGGAATATATTTTATTTTTAAAAAACAAATATCTCCGTTTTTAAGCCAGTATATTTCCATAACAGCCCACCTTGACCTTAAGAGTTTAATTGAAGCAGCTCACCATCTTAATGAAATTAATCATTTTGATGGGATTGTAAATTGTTAGCGCTCATTTTAGGTATAAAGCTCTTTCTCTTCAAAAGGGCTTCCGCTGAAATTGTAACTGAAATATAAATGCTCATATCGACTGCTTAGGTAAGACTCCACCATACGCCTTTTAAAAAGGGACATGAGATTAGTCTTAAACCTGAGCAGTCTATATTTTGCACATTGACAACTATCGTAATGTGTGGTCATAAATGTGTCTGGACGCGGTGGAATCAGGCTCTCGTCAATTTTTTGGCATGTAGAGTTATTGGTATCACCTTAAAGCTTGTTCATTTGTCTTGCTTTGGATGAAAAAAAAAGACCCATTTATTCTGAATACAAGTCGAGATATTTTTGAATGAAGGAGGCGCAGGTCACCTGGTTTCAGAAGTAAAATTAGTGAGAAAATGGCCACTAAAGATTAGTTATTAGTTATTACAGAAATGTGTTCTTTAATGGGCATGAAAGGTGTCAAGCCAAAAAACAAAATTTCGATAGAAATTCACAAACTTGCCGAAAAATGCCAGTTTCTTCACTTTGATTAATTTGACGAGCGTCTGATTTCACCACGCTGCCTCACAAATGCATATTTGCGAGTGATATTATTGTTTTTAAAAAAAGAAATATCTGGATATATAATTTTTTTAATTACCTCAATGGTGACAGGAAAGGAAAAGAGTTGCTCTTTTCTCTGAGTCAAGACATTGACTTTTTCTCAGCTCTTATTGACCATTATCAAGACACATTTGTACAACACTATCCTCTGCCACTAAATTTGGTATGTGTGAATGTAGTTTGTGGTATGAGAGTTGTGTGTGTGTGTGTGAATGTGCATCTGTTTGTGCATGTGAGCGTATGTGTGTATGTTAATGTGTTTGTGTGTATGAGTATGTTGTGTGTGTATAGTCTCACAATGTGCATTTCCTATCTTTAAATTCGTCATTGAAATTGAGTGATTATTCTGCATTTTACAGTGTTTAGAGTCTTCTACTTCTAGGGATTGGGTGCTGTATAAATTCATATTATTATTATCATTATCAACTCACTGAGCATCTCTTTGTTTCTCAACAAACAGATAACACCCCACTTTTCTCTTTCGTCCTCACCTCAGGCCTGACCTACCCGCTGTACCCGTACATTCCCTCCCCGCCACTGGACACATTGTACATCCCGGAGGCTCTGCAGTCCAACGAAGAGAGTTCGTATTACGACCCGTACATCCAAGGCTTCTCCTTGCCGATGAGCGGCCCACGCTATCATTATGAGACCACGCCCAGCATCAACAGGCTGCAGATGCAGTCACCGCCTGCGATAAGCCCAAGGGCAATAGGACCTGTCAGAACCTACTCTGCTCCTGGTGTGTTATGTTGGATTTTTCTTTCCCCCATCTTGAGCAGATTATCTTATTTTGCCGATTGTGAATTGTGTTCAAATGACTAAGCACAACTGCAATTTACTTGAAAAAGAAATCAATTTGTATGTATATTATAATAACAATAATAATAATAACAATAGATAGCATTTTTATAGCTCATAACCCCGCTCTACAACAAGGTCTATGCGCTTTACACAAAATTATTACCGCAGCAGACCATAGAACACTCAGAAACATTCTTAGCTTCCCGGGAAAAATACAGTGCAAGCAGCTGATTAAGCGCTCAAACACTAACAAATTGACAAAATCTTTCACTGTCTATAGCAAACAGTTAAGCATGCACATACCGAACACGCACACAGCAAACCAATATTTAGGTCCCAAATTGTTTATTATACTTTGTATTGGAAACGTGCACATAGCGTAAACAAGTCAGACATACCAAAAAAATTGGCTTCAGTTAGGGTAGGTCTAATAACACACCACTTCAAATTTCCTAAGTAGCCATGATGAGAGAAAAGGGAGGGGAAGGGTGGGGGGTCAAATAGAAAGAGACAGAAAGAGAGAGAGGGTGGGGGTGGCATGCTATGATTGTTAGCCAATAATTTCTCTATAAGCTGAGGGCAGTTTAGGCCACTGATGTGTCTATTTCATCTGTCGCAGAAGTGTCCAGCACTAGGCTTGATCCAGATTGTACATTCTGTTATGTGGGGTAAGCTGAGGTCACATTATGAAGGCACGTATCCTGTATGTTCGCCACGTGTGTCAGTGCTCTTGCTCTTCAACAGAGTTTAAATACTACGCAACAGCTTGCTGATGTTCTGCAAAGTTGAGTCTAGGTGAAGTTGTAGAAAAGTGTTCTATGGCGGAGCAAAACAAGTGGAAAGGCTTTTCAATCGAGGAAAAATGACTAACCCTAGCTTGAGTAGAAAAAACATTCAAGGCCAAAAATCTAAATCTGCAAGACATATGTTGATGTGACAGAGGGGCATTAATTCATGTAAAATTTTGACCCAGTTATCTAACTTTGTTTAATTATCTTGATATAGCCTGAAATTTGTACTAAGCTAAATTCATATATCATGAAACGATTTTCATTACCAGCTGAATTTGCTGTGTGCATGCCTGGGAGAGGGATAATATTGTGGTTGAATTTCTTTGTTTCCTTCTAAGTGGAAGGCTTTTTAATCTCAAATTCATCAGAGTGTGAGGAACATTATAGGTACTTGGCAGATGCTTCGTCAAGCGTGCTATTTTTCTCCTAATCTGCTACCAGGTAAACCTTGAGTGCCCAAATACTGAATGTTTGTAAAGCACAATTCAACTTGTCATATTGCCATTAGAAATACATGTATATAGCTAAATTACATGATTACGATTCCATCAGTTTAAAGAGAAAATCACAATTTCTTTTTCAGCCAATGCCGGCTGTAGTTATGGAGCCTCGGAGTCAGCCGGGCAGATTGGGCAGAAAGCTGCAGGATCAACAAGCAAAAGAAACGTCAAACTGATCCCTGCATGTCTTGGCTCGGGCCGAGACTATTTCGATGACATGTTCCATGACCTTCAAAGCAGCACTCTCTTTTCTAAGCCTCGTCCGAAGAGCAGCCCACTTGAGAGAATGCCCTCCACCTTTCACGATTACACAGTGTCGACATCGAGGTAAGCTTTGCATGTGTTTGGGATGTCTATGGGTTTAATGTCTATTTTTACATTAGTAGCAGGTTGTTTTGAAGACATCAACGCGGGCAGTATTGCATACATATGTAAGTCATTTTTGGCGACCTTTGAGATATGTCTGTATTCAATACTGCCCGCGTCAAACCCTGCCATAGTGGTTTGAATAGTATGGAATGCTGTGAGTGTACAATAAGATTATGTAATAAAAATAATGATAATTTGTCAGTCAATGTCTGTCTATAGCCAATCCATTTGCTGAGCTCAATATTTCTCTAAGAGGAATGGAAGAAATAAGGATTAAGATGATTTGTGGCTTCTGCTAAGGCCAATTAGATCAATCTGGCAAAGAGGAGTTTGCCACATTTTGATCATATAAAATCTTCATTTCCACCTGTGGATATGTGCAGCTTGCAGGCTTCTCGCTTAGCTTCAACGTTTCTTATTTGTGAAGCTTTATATGATTTTGCTGCTCCCCGGCTGGTTCTGTCAGGAGCTAGGGTTTCCCATATCAAAGGATTGATTGTGAAGTCCTTTGGAGACATTTTCAGGGTGACTTTGTAGTGCTGTTTTGGTGCGCTCATTTTACACTTTCTTGAGGACAGCTCAGAATAGAAAACTGCTTTTTGGATTCTGAAATCAGGCATTCTTATGACATGGCCAACCCACTGAAGTTGATTCCTTTTGAACATACATGAGATGAGATATCACACATGAATACACACATACTACACCTACATACAACACACACACACACACACACACACACATACACACACACACACACAAACACACAGTGACGTACAAGCAGACACTAATATGTACATGCACATAAGATGTACTCATGCCTACAAAATGCATACAAATGTTTTTACACTAATGTAGGCACCTACACACACACACACACACACACACGCGCGCGCGCGCGCAAGCACACACACACTCACACACAAACACGAACATATTTTTGTTTTGTCTTCTGAGCAAACATTGTTTTACACTTACAGTTTTACTTACAATAATAATCACTTAGTATTATTTTACTCATTTTTATAAATGTGTTACTCAATTAATACTGTCTTGTAAATTATGTGTGTTTTAGGAAAAATGGCACAGATCAGATAACTTCTCGTCTTTTTCGTTGTAATGGGCATTGAGCATCTGTTAGAAAATGGAAATGCGCAGTATAAATGCTATTTATTATTATTATTTTCCATTTTTTTTCTACTGTTCTCATTTTTAAAAAGGCAGGGAAAAATTCGAACATCAGACCCGCTTTCTTAAGAAGCAGGTTCTGTTTTAGCCACTGCCAGTTCTCTGTTGACTAAATCATTTTTTGCACCTACTTGACGAATCAATGAAAATCTTTGGGAGCTATAAGAATCTTATAACCCTGGGACAGTTGTAATGCTTCAGAAGGACTTCGATCATCACTTTCTTTGGTACCGAAGTCAAGCTTTTCATTCAGACTTGAATACTTTACCCTCTTTAACTTTTTCCTTCCTCTTGTATCGTTGTATCTCGAGGGGGAGGGGGGGGGTGGATCCAATTTTCAGTCACCGGCTAGGTGGGTGGCTTTTGATGCAGATAGCCTACGTGCCAAGGAGGGGGAGGGAGTGGTATTGCAATTTTTGTTCAAGGGCTGTAAGATGGGTGACTCCTTTTGAAGATAGCCTAAGGTATTTTGTTGGAGGACCTCTTTGACTTCCTTCATTGCTTGATTCTTGAATGTTGTATAAGGTTTGGGTGGTTTTGGGATTATTCTTTCTCCTTGATATAAAATTGTGTTGGCGGGTTAGAAAGTTCTCAAGTAGAAGTTAAAAATCTTAGTGTTCCCTGGCACAGAGTTTTGAACGACTTTGTGCTAACTCTCTGTTAGATAGATTTTTTTCTTTCTTATTTCCCTTTACTTGTTGTTTTTGTCAGTGAACGTAAAATAAAATAGAAACAACAGAAATTTAGTCGCTAGAAGGCTTGAGGATTTCGAGGAAGAGGAGGAGATCAAAAGAGGAAAGACTGATAGAAGCCCACCTGGGCCTCTCACTAATACGAACAATAAGGAAGGGACAATAAATGCAGTTTCTGGAACACTTGAATCGACATAGGCCCCTACAGACTAAAAGTTTAGTTTTTGTAAGCAGAGTTGGTAAAATAGAAGGCAAGCGAAGCAAGGGTAGACCCAGAACAACTTGTTTAGAATACCCGAACGGTTAGGTGACGGTGAAAGATCAGGACAATGTAAAAA